GCCTGAGCCCGCGGGTTCGAGACCAGCCCGGGCAACCTGGTGAGACCTCATCTCTACAATAAATAAAAAACTAGCCAGGCGTGGTAGCATGCAACTGCAGTTCTGGCTACTTGGAAGGCTGAGGCGGAAGGATCGCTGGAGCCCAGCGGGTCCACACTGGGGTGGCCATGAGCCTGCCACTGCACGCCAGCCTGGACGACAGAGTGAGACTCTGACTCAAAAAAAAGAAAGAAGTCACTGTTCCTGGCTTAGGGCTCCTGAGTCACATTAGCACAGCCCCACGCTTGTCTGGCCTTTTTGTTCCTCTCTCCGCATCCCCTCCTCCCCACTTCTGCACCACCAGCAGCTCAATGAGGGTCTGAGTCCCTACGGCCAGTTCCTGCCACTCCTCAGTCTGGTGACACAGGAACTGACCAGCTGGGAGAGTTTCCTCCAACCTCTGACCACTGCTCAGAGTCGCAGCCCCAACTCCCAGCATTTCCTGGCACTGAAGATACTGACAAAACATGAGATGGTGCAGCCTCAGCTTTGTGCCCTGGCAGCTCTGTCCACAGTTATAAAATGGAAATCTGACCGGACGTGGTGGCTCACGCCTGTAATTCCAGCACTTTGGGAGGCCGAGGTAGGACAATTGCTTGAGCCCAGTTGTTTGAGACCAGCCTAGGCAACATAGTGAGACTGTATCTCTACCAAAAAAATAAAAAAATTAGCTGGGTGTGGTGGCGCTTGCCTTTAGTCCTAGTTACTTGGGAGGCTGAGGCAGAAGCATTGCTTGAGCCCAGGAGGTAAAGGCTGTGGTGAGCCACGATTGTGCCACTGTACTCCAGCTTGGGTGACAGAGTGAGACTCTGACTATAGATAAAGAAATACGTGGTGACTCAGCCTGGAATGCCAGCACTTTGGGAGGCTGAGGTGAGAGGATTGCCGGAGCCTGGGAGTTTGAGACCAGCCTGGGCAACTTGGTGAAACCTCGCCTCCACAATAAATCATTAAAAAAAACTAGCCCAGCATGGTGGCGTGCGTCTTTAGTTCCAGCTACTTGGAAGGCTGAGGCAGAAGGTTCGCCCGAGCTGGGCAGGTTGACACTGGGGTGGCCGTGAGCGTGCCACTGCACTCCAGTCTGGGTGACAAAAGTGAGACTTCAATTCAAAAACAAAAAACAAAATAAATAAGTAGATAAACAAATAAATAATGGAAATTCCAGGCAGCTCAAGGCTCCACTGACCTCATTCACTCAAGTATTTGTCGCACATTGGTTTCATGTTAGGTACCAGCTATGTAATGGAGCACAAAGATGAACAAAAGAAATGTGATTTCTGCTCCAATGGAGTTGACACACCATTGAGAGTCAGACACGGATCAAATAATGTTAAA